AAAATGCTGACTTAGGACTACTTTAGGTAGAGAACAGCTGCATGACCCACCAGTTATTTTTTGTACACGTTCATAAAACACACCAGCAGCTGTTCTTAATTTATGGCAAAGTTCCCAAAGTACAACCTGGTGAGATATTTGTGCTCAAATCTTGCCCAGGCTCAAAGCTGTGAGCCCACTCCAACACACAGTCAGAATGTGAAAGGCAAAACATTCACTTAAGGGAATCATCCTCTGCAACCTGGACCTTCAGCTGCCCTTTTGGAAAAGGAAAGACAAGTCATTTGGATATGTTAAATATGTTGCAAAATAAATATTATCCACAAGTGGTTTTATCTAATTTGGGATTTAAAACAGCACAAGAAGTATCAGAGCTCCTCTGCAGAGATTCAGTTTAAGTCATCCCAGATCAAGAGCTGAATCACGAGCTAACCACTACTGTACTACACCCAAAGCCAGGCTGAGTTTATCCTATGATGAATTTTTTAAACTCCAATAGAATCCTACTAAAATAGGATTTTATTTTTTGCCACTGAAGATAACACTTGTTGTCTTAGTGTTGCTGAGTGTTTGCATTTGAAAAATAGGTCATGTCAAGAACTGCTTTGAAACGATTGTTTAAACAGAGCTTACAAACAGAGATAAAATTCTTCTGCTGGAATGTCTTCTAATGTCTGCACCAAGGTTGATCATCCAGGAAGGAGCACAGAGGAGAGCAAAGGGATTTGTGAAGAGAACTAGGAAGAGCAGGAATGAGATTTCACAGATGTCGCAAGGATGTGGAGATAAAGGGCAGGAATACACACTGACATCAGGAAAGCAGAATAAGCCTGTTTTGAAAAACAATTACTTCTTTAGTTAGCTTTAAAATATCTAAAAAAACATTTTTCTAGGAAAGTATATGCAGTTCTTCACTTAATCTGGAAGCCAATAAACCAGATTAAGTTTATTAATTTTAATTAGCACTGTATGTCCATACAAGATACCCTGATTTTTCAGTGTCTCTACCTCCTGAACACTCATTTACCAAACTGGTTTTGCCCCTATTAACACAAGATAATTACAAACACCACACATAATAGCAGTCACATAGGAAAGAATGCTTAACACAGTATCTGTGCTCATCTCCCTTCAGAACATATCCTCTCTTAAAGCCCAAGAAAGGTCTTTGGGATACATCTTAAAACATCTCCACATCACACACTGTTACCTAGAACAGACAAAACTATTCAAATCAGCAATTGTAGCTGTATAATTCACGTGTCCACATGAATATATTTTAAGCATTCCCATACTGTCAGGTCATGTATCTTAAAAAAAACATGAATCAGGATCTTGACTAGTATAGTAACAGTCAAAAAAAAAAAAAAAGAAAAATGGAAAACAGCAATGCAAGATGAATCCAACTTCCTGGATCCTATGTTCTATGAAACAACATTTCCAAATTCTATAAAATACTTTATTTTCAGAACCCAGCTAGCCAAGGCCACAAGCAACCTGATCCAAACCTGAAGTCATCCCTGCTTGGAGCAGGGTGGATGAGATGACCTTCAGAGATCCCTTCCAACCCATGTTAGTTCAAGATTTCATAAAATAAACTGGAGAATGAGAGTGTGTTTGTACACACAAACACTTGCCCTCTTTCTTTCCAGACACCCTGGGCAATCTATGGATACAACCACATGGAACACTGTATGGAAAGCAGGACTACAAGCAGCACTGAGCAGGGCAGACTGATTTTGGCATCTTAAATACACACCAGTGTTACATTTATACACAAGAACTACAGACGAAAGCATTGACCTTAGTGAGGTGGTGAAGATGTGAGACTCCTCACTTATCAGCTCTGCCTGATCTCAGGAGTGTCCAATTTATCTGCTGAATCCTCAGCAGGGTGAAAACACAATCCCCACTGCAGAGCTCTGACTCCTGTACTGGTGAGGAATCTCTCTGGAATTATAAATTATATTAATTGCTTCTGCTGAGACAGGGGAAAAGAAAGGAAGCAGGCTTGTCTTGACAGAGGTAACCACTCAAACCACAGCAAACGCTCAGCTTCACCATTCCTCTGTAACCCACACTTCATTCACACATCTCAAACTGAAACTCCACTACTCCTACCTTTGGAATTCCTCCTTTGATGCATTTTCCCTCCTGCCATCCACTGATCAGCATTTTCAGCAGTGACTCAGGAGAACACACCAAACATGACACGTGGCTGAAACTCTCTCGGGGTGCCTCGATTTCGGAGCCCCAAACACACGTCAGTGAACGGCACAGGACAGGACAAGGAGTCCTTCTCACAGGAGTAACAAGCACCATCCCACTGATGGGAGTATTTGCATACTATGAAATCAAATAAATGATCATGCCTTATAAAAAGTTACATTTCCAATTTATTCCTATTTTACCACGAGATAAAAGCCGAGATGATCTACCAAGCCTGAGGAATTCAGAACCACGTTTTTTCAAGTAACCTGTTCCAGCCTCTCACCTCAGTTCTACTCCCCTCTCCAGAGGTGTCTGTGATGATCTACAGAACTCCTTATTTCACCAAGAAAGCTGCAAGAGCTAGTTTACATAATTTTTTTCATGTTTTGTTGGTATTTTTACTACAGAAGTAAATCACAATATAGGCCAGACAGCCTTTCTCCAACAAGACACAGTAAGTTCTCGAGTGATACTAAGTTACTTGAGCTGAGAGCACAATTGTAATTATTGTGATTTTAGAAAATAATTTACTGTAACGGCAAAATATTGAAAAACTAAGTTAGTACTATGAAAACTGGTGTTATTGTAACTTCAGTTCTTTAGGTAATGGTCTGAAATTTAAGTTCAGCACAGGACCTGTCCTTATTTGGAAGTTTCCCAGTTTCCATACTTAAAATACTCACATTTCAAAAGGTTTGATAGATGCAGTTCCAAGGAAACCAACTGGCACAGTAAACCCACTTAACAAAAACAAAAAAACCCTAAAATTCAGTGTTTTTACAGCCACTGCTTGCCTTTCACTATAAACCTATACAGAATTTTTTCTCGTTTTCATATTTTATTTTTCTGCCCTAAGTACTCAGTATTGCCAAGAACAAACTTACTATGTTGCTCAGAGTAACTCTCCTACATGTACATTTTTGATTTATCATTGGAACAGGAGTGTAAATAATTCCTTTAGATTTAGTTCTGCCATTTGAACATAGTCAAGTTCCACAATTCCCACGGACCCACAGGTGCAGAAAACCTCACTCTGACAAAAGCAGAGCTGTTGTTCTTGTCATATTCTTGGCAGAATCAGAACCATTTCCATTCACCATTCTGCAAACTTCACTGGAAAACACTAAGGATAATATTCTGCTCTACAGAAGTCAGGTATTCTAAAGCATATGTTGATATAGCAACCCAAATATATCATCCATCACATTATAACATCACAAAAGGGAGTTTTAAAGAGTCTGCTATCTCTTGATTGTCCTTCAGCATGAAGTGCCAGTCCAGTGGGAGATCTGGGGGAAGCATTAGTAAGGGCTGAATTGTACTATATTCATGTCCTGTGAACCAGAATAATCATTCTACCAGTAATTTATGTAGCAAGTGCCCCTCAGCACATCACACATTTGCAGTATTAATCTACCTCCATAACAGTAAGTTGTTCAATAACACACACATGTGCAGTGTGCATTTAAAGAGGCACAAGGAGGAGGCTGAACAAGCCAAGAATACGGTGCCCACGTGCCCCAGAAGGGCAGAGCTCCTCCCTGCAGCTGAAAACATAACTGAAGGCTGAGTCCTTTCCCCTTCTCACAACCAAAAATCTGAGAGCACTGAAAGACACAAGTGTCACTTTTCCTGTGAGCCAGAGTTACTCACGTGAATGAATGTTTGGTAGCCAAGGAAAAATTGCTAAGGCACAGAGCAAAGGGAGAACACAAACACAAAGGAAGTGGCATTTTCATTCTGAGAAAGCTTCAAAAAATCACCTTCTTAATTTTTTTTTTTTTTAAAGAGCTGTCTGTGCAACATTTGGCAAAAGATCTGTTGTTCATAAGACAACAATGAATTTGGGCATTTCAAAAGCACCGAGATAATATTTCAGAGCAACTGTTTCTTACAGCCAGTGAAGTAGCTCATTTAAAAAACCTGAATGTGGAGTGTAATGACCTAATTAGGGGAATTTCTCCCCAGAGAGAGGCTGTTCTAGTGTAAGATGATGGGAAAACCCAGCTGGTTTGAATACTGTAAGATCAAGACCTGAATGCTTTTGCAAGTGTGTGGTTGAAGAAAAAAAACCATTATAATCAGAAGACTGGAAGTTTCTGTCCTTGTGACAAACACACACTGAATAGAGTCGTACTAACCTCAGGTTCTCAGTTAGAAACCTTCCAGGATTACTCATACCTGGTAAGCACAAAACAAATTCAGAACTGCCAACACTATTCTGTTGAACTTCAGTTACTGAAAGTACTCCACACTTATTTCATCTCTGTTAGAGAAGAAAATAATTAAGAGGTGTCATATATCAGCTCATATGTCAGCTTTTGTGGTATCAAAAGCAAAAACTAAAGCAAGAGATCAAATTATTCAGTAACAAAATATATTTAGATAAATTACTCCATAGCTGATCTCAATTACTCCTTTTTTTGAAGGCACCAACACAACACACTCTATAGTCCAGTATTTTTACTTAAGGGTATAATTAATAAACTGCACAAACACCTTCCAAGACATGGAACATGTTAAATTTGTTCCCTAAGAAAAAGCATTCCAAGAAACACTTTCAGATGGAAGCACTGCCACCAGAACACTGTTTCTGTCTTAAACCTTTTGAGTTTTAAACAAAATGTGAAGAACTTAGTCATTAATACAACCTACAGAAAGTTACTGAATTCTGGCTAAGTTTGAGCAAGACCATGAGCATTTTGACTTGTCCTTCCTTGTTGCCCCTCAGACTCTCCCAGGGGAAATAATCCACTCCACACACTTTATTAACATTAACACGGGAAAACTTCAGGGAATTAAGTTTAATGTGCTGTTCTACACATAACATGGAGTTTCATACAACTTACAGTTCACAATACCCTCACAGCAAAAATCAAAACAGACCAAAAAACTGCCCCAGTATTGTTATGCAAGAGCTCGATTTTCTTCTTGCTGCTCACCCTGAAAAGTAACACAATGAGAACCAGTTACAATCTGACATTCAAATACCTAAACATGAAATGTGTTCACATTGGTTCTCTAAGTCTGTCTAGGCAGGTGCACTCCCCTAATATGATCTTCTAACTTGGAAATAACAGAAAATACAACAGTACTTCCATTTGTGCTTTTGGATGTACAATACATATAAACAGACCATCATCTTACGTTTTTATGATGCAGCAACAGAGGTTTCACTACAGTGAAATACAGATCAACATTTAGCATGACAATAAAGGAAATTATTTAATTGTCTTAGACTAACCACTCAATTCACTGTAAGGTAGAGCCATGTTCCACATTCACTTCCAAGTCACATCAGAGAAATAACCACAGACTGTGGTTTGCCAGGGGCAGGAGGTGCTTGGGTTTAGGTTTTTTAATCTTTTCCTTTTTCTTTTTTAAATTAAAAACCAACTATGAACACTAAAGACCAACACCAGTACATGCAGAATCTTTTAGTTCAGTTAAAAATTGCTACTAGTCAAAACAATGCATCAGAAAATCAATTTATTGGGAGAGCACAGGAAGTTGTCCTGCTAAGCAGGTTATTTTTTATCAGGTTCCCCCTCCTATTTCTTTGAAATGAAATCTAAGTTTTCCTTTCCTGCTTGCTAAGAAACTCCTCAGTTGTTCATGTCACTGTCAAGGTATGGTAAGTCTCCAGCATCAACAGCTTGCTGCACTTTCCCTCAAGATTGTTTATTTGCTTTCCAAGGAATTACACTTTAGGAGAGCCAACGTGAAGCTGAAGCCTCCCTTTAAAGCTGTGGCTTCCCAGCTCAACATTTACTACTGACTGACACCCACTCATCCTACAAGTTTCAATCTTCCTCATCAAACTGCTGTGACAGTTCTGAGTGATTATTTTGTATTTCTATTCTGCTTCATTTTTTACTGAATCAAGGCCAGAAAAGATACAGTCCATAAGCAAATCTCAGGAAAGTCAGTTGATAGAACCACAGAATGGTTTGGGTTGGAAGAGACCTTAGAGATCATCTCATTTCAACCCCCTGTTCTGGGCAGTTCTATCAGGAAAATCTGTCTCATTAATGCAGATACAAGTAAAGGAATTTTTGAATCCCTATCATTCAAATACTCCAACAGTAAAAGAATCTCAAATTCTCCAAAGCTTCTTCAAAAAAAAAAAAAAACAAACCCTGTTCAACTACTTTGACTCATCACTCTTCAATATTAGAGTAAGTAAGACACATTAAACAATAAAAAAATTGTTTAATACCTGCTTTGACAGTTTTATACATTACAGAAAAAGAATTTTAAACTAGCTTGGTTAACAATCCAAATGTTAAAGCTGAAAGTTAGTAACAGAAGAAGCCTTAGAAAATAACTGAATGTCTTCAGGAACCTTACTGGACTTTGGTCAGTAACCCTTCCTTTGGCTTTGCTCTGCTAATGCACCTTTAAAGCAGATTTCTGTACTTTCTTTCCTTCCTCTTGTTCAACACCCTGACTCTTCACAACAGGCAGAACTCAGAAAGCTGTACCCTTTTACCTGGCAAGAATCCTCAAGTCACTGCAATCGACCCCCTCACTGTTCCTCCACAACAACAGCAACTGCTGAGAGCCAGTGTCAGTGGGCAAGACTCCAAAACCAGGAGAGAAACCAAACATTAAACCACTGATAAAGCTGAGTTCAAATGTTCTTGCTCCATTGCCTTTGATGTGTCCAGTTCCTTAACAGTGTTTAGCCAGCCTAAAACCAGATTTGATGGTAAGAAGAATACAACAGCTGCTTTATGACTATTAACTCAGAATGTGCTAATGAAGCACCTACAACAAGACCTTGTGCTTTTCCTGGCCCTTGTAGGCAGCACAGACTGAAACACCACCTTTGGCAAAGCCCAAAACAGTAACAGCAACAGGAAAATATGACACCCAAGTGCCTGGAGGGCAGGAAATACCTGCCTTCAGTGCCTCCCTTCAATAGGAAGTGCAGCACCACACCTTTAAAAACAAGAAGAAAATAAAGATAGACATTAACATAACCACTGTTCCTTTCTGAAGAAAACTCCTCACTATTTTCTGCAGCAATTAAGAATTTTGCCCAGATTTCTAAAATACTGAGTCAGCAACTGAGTTTGGCCTTACTTTTAAGACCCAAGCTCAGCTACCAAAATGACTTTGAGCAAACCCCTTGACCCTGTGGGGACATCCCACAGCCAGTGAGAGCCTCAGTGACACCCTCACTCTTCCTCACTGCTCTACTGGGAATGAAAACCAAACCCAACCAAACACCAGTGATGTGATGTTCAGACACTGAAACATAAACCATTTTCCTCCTAGTGAGGTCATACAACTACTCCTGGAAGGTAAACATTCCCTGGAATTACACAGTGTGTCCCAGGATGTTTGCTCTTATCTTTGAATCTCCCCATCCTTAGACAGCTGTTGTTCTTTAGCTTTACAGAATTACCACTGCACATGTGTCTAATCATTTCTCCAGCATTTCATGTACTCAGACTGATGTAGCATCTTCACAAAGACATGAGACTGTTCCAAAGCCTCATTACCTCACCTTTTAGGGTAACTGAAAGTTTTTCTCACACCAAACCACCTTTCACAATATTTCTCACATCTCAGAAGGCTAAAACAAGCAATCAATTAACACAAACCCTCTGTCTCACCTGTATCAAATCAGTGGCAGGAATTCAATTATTGCTGCACTCCAAACTAAAATTACATTGCCAGTGAAAAATGCTGTTTTGAAGAATGTACTTGAATTTGTCAGCTTCATCAGCACTGGTATTTGTTTTCTCCTGCCCTAGCTTCCAAGAATTCTTCTGTGCCACAGAACTGCTTTCAGAACCTCAGGTTGTTCACCTACTAAAATCAAAAGTAAGAAGAATTAGCAAAGTCACAGGCAAGGCCACAATGGAAGGTGACAGACAAACATGGTACTTGACATACTTCACCATCTTAGCCAGGGGTTTGGACACATCATGCAATGCCAGTGCAATGTCCTACGGCCTCTGTGTCCCCCTGCACACATCAGAAAATACAGTTTTATAGAGGTCAGACAACTAAGACATGGATGAAATTACAATTATTCAGTAACACTGTTGTGGCTAATCAAAACCTAAACAAAGAGTAATGGACAAGCATACCTATTGGAGGCTCCTCTGATCTCAGTGGGAATGCCTCAGTTACTGGAGACTCTGCAGTAACACAGACCAGCAGCCGATGGTGGGGTGGCCTCGCTGAGCACAGCACTATTTTTAGATAGTTTAACACATCACTTAGTGTGTAACAACACTCAGACAACAGTGAAACATTTTTCTTCTGAGAAAGGTTAAAGCACATGCAGCTGCACTTGCCTGGACATTGTACTTCTGTAAATATCCAACTGCTGAGGAGGATACATGTAAAGCACTGGCTCTTTCCTTGTTCACTCAGGACCTTGTCTACAATTAGGGAAGGCAGTCACTGAACAAATATTTTTGCTGTGTGTACTCTTACAACTTTTCCAAAATCCCTCAGATTTTTGCCTCAGAAGAACTGGACCATCTATTATGCACCGAGACGTTTTTAGATAATGAATCAGAGCATGAATGACATGAACTTCTAATAAACAAAATTAAATGTGATAATAAAATCAAAATACTTTCGAATGCAAAACATGCAAAGGACCAGAGTGTCACTAACGTGTCATCTGCCCGTGCCAACACACAGTCCTGGGGTGTCTCTTGCTCCTCCTTCACAGTCACAACTCTCACATCTCCCAGCCCAGAACAAGCAGATTCTTTAGGCAGCTGCTCCTCATTGTCATACCTGCAAATACAACCCAGATGGTTGACTGAAACACTTCTTTGGCAAAAAAGAAGTTTCCATCTCCGTTTCATCTACACCAGTGTCATGTGCTCAACAATACAAACAACAAAAGAGACAGAAGCTCTTTGGCAAAAGATATCCAAATCTTCAATTTTAATTCATTACACTTTCCTTTTATAGATATAACTTTCACCCCATTATTTTTAAATATCAGCAGCAGTCTTTCAAGTAGTACCAAGAAAAACATTTCATCCACCCTTCCCACGTAAAGAGAGGACAGAACTCACGTTCCATCTGCTGCTATTAAAGATGTGCTGTCTGACAAAGCTCTTTCTTCCTTCACAGTGATCCTCCTGACACCCTCAGGGAGGGGACAGAGCGAGGCTTTGGACAATAGGTCATAGCTGTCATACCTAAGAAAGGAAACACACAATCGGTATCAACACCCAGCACTATTTACTCAGTATTAGCAAACAGAGGAGTGTTGTGGCAATATACCCACAAATCCAACAAAAACCCTGCAACTTCTGCATCGTTCCTGAAATCCAGCTTCTCCTTAAGGGTCAGCCATCGCTCAATGTGATTTCCCACATAAATCCTCGTTTTGCCCCTTCTTCTATCAAGACTTTGCTTTCTCTTTTTCTTTTCCAGGAAGGACAACACCGGGGGCCTTCCACACCTCTTTGCTGGCAGGGACATGGTGAGCCTGGAAATAAAGGAGGGGCTTCAGTGAATGGCAGCTCAGAGCAATGGGTACCTCAGCGTTCTGAGCCACCACAGTGGTGATGGCCACGTGCCTTTGGCTCCTTGGATGTCAAACACCTGAGGGGGGCAGAAAACCCCTCACACACTTGCCCCTGAGGGGAGGGAAAGGCCTCTGACGACTACACCTCTGATGAGGGGGAGAAGAGCCCTTCACACAGCAACCCCTGAGCGGGGAGAAAAGCCCCTCACACAGCTGCCCCTGAGGGTGGGGAAAAGCCCCTCACACAACCACCCTTGAGAAAGGAAAAGGTCCCTCACACAGCCGCCCCTGAGGAGGAAAAAGGTCCCTCACACAGCCGCCCCTGAGGAGGAAAAAGGTCCCTCACACAGCCGCCTCGGAGGGGAGAAAAGCCCCTCACACAGTCGCCCCTGAGGGGAGAAAAGCCCCTCACACAGTCGCCCCTGAGGGTGTGGAAAAGCCCCTCACTCAGCTGCCCCTGAGGAAGAAAAAGGTCCCTCACACAGCCGCCCCTGAGGCGGGGACGAAACCCTAACGCCGCCGCGCCAGGGAAGGGCACAAGAGCTCCTCACACAGCCGCCCCTGAGGGGGGAAAGCCACTCACACAGCCGCCCCTGAGGGTGTGGAAAAGCCCCTCACGCAGCTGCCCCTGAGGGGGAAAAAGGTCCCTCACACAGAGCCCCTCACGCCGCCCAAGGGGGAACAGTCCCCCCTCACAACTCCCCCGAGAGGGGACAAGTCCTTCCCCGGCGCCGTCCCCCGAGCCCTCAGCCCCTCCCGCCCCCGCCGCCCCCTCACACGCTTCCCCCGGGGTCGGTCCCTCACCCGCCGCGGTGCCGACCGAGGTAAACACGGGGCACGTGACCACCGGGGGGACACGTGACCGGCGGCGGCGCGCGCTGATGGCGCGAAAATCACGTGAGGGCGGGGCGGGTCCGACCCTCCGGGTTTAAGGAAAACGGTTTAAAAGGGTTTTTTGTTTTTTTTTTTAATGTCAAAACAGGGCCGTAACTACGGTCACGTCTGCTGAGGGAGCGGTCAGCGGTGCGCAGGTAAAAACTGCTCTCTACAAATCGCTGGAGCTCAGAGGAAGAGGTAACGCAATATGTATTTTTTGAATATTCATTTGATATCGAACTGAAGTAAACGTGTTATACACAATAATAAAAAAAAAAAATAAAATTGAAGTTTCCCCAAGCAACGATTCGCAGCAGGAGTTCCCAAAATACTGTGTTATCTTACCTTCTTAAAGGCCACGTCAGAGACAAAATTGGAATCGTCCCCTGAAGAGCAAAAAAATGTTTGATGTGTGAGTTACCTGTTAAAATACTAAATCGGTGACACAAAGAGAAAGGAAATGCAGCGTACACTTGGACTCCCTGCTGGCACAGTGTGTTACAACAGTGACCTGCACACAGGCTGCATTGCACCAGCTGACACATAGTGCATTTTTAAATAAAGAAATAAAAATGCAGACCAATAGCTGGCAATATTTATGGATAATTTTATATAAACAAGAGAGGGAAAGTCGTATGTACCAATTTATTTTTTTTTTTCATTTCTACTGTTGGTTTTGGTAGAATCACAGTAACAAGTTGGCTCAAGAACTGGGACGTGACTGAAGGCTGATAGAAACATTTATTTCAATCTGCTGAATGGGCTGAATAACCAAAACACTTTCGGGTTTTGTTTGTTGTCCAACATTTACATAACTTGAAAATAAAGAAGTGAAGAAGAAAAAAGCCATCACGTCCTGAAATCTATTTCAGTCTTTTTTTCATTTAGAGCTACAGCACGTGAGGAGATTTTCATGGCACATTTTACTGTGTGAGTTAATAGAGAAGTAAGTTTTAAAGGATTATTGTGGCATAATTACAAGTTCTCTCAAAATAGCTCGAATTTTCAGTGATATATGTATATTAAGATAATACCTTGCACTTCACTCTTTCATTTAAATATAATTCCTTTTAATTTGCCATTATTTCTGTAAAATACTTACTGGGACTGTTTCCAAATAAACAGGACTGTTAAGAGGCTTTTCATACTTATCTCTTCTGATTGCCTTCACAAATATAGTTATTGTCTGTATAAATAGATTCAGATTCCAAATAACAGAACTGTGTGAACCACCAGAAGCTGTTGTGTGCTTTAAGTTCCTGTTTGTCTTGAAATCACAAAGCTGCTGGGAGAAGCAAGAGGGTACAGACAACATTTATTTCTACCAAGTAATTTGGAAACAAAAGCATTTATGCAGCAACTCACCTCTTATGCCAACTAAGTTAAGCAATCTACTGTTGTTATGCCTGCTAGTAAAATTAAAAACAGGATTTAAAAACAAATCCATGCCTGTGTTCTCAAAAATGAATTAATACATAATAAAAAAAATATCAAATCCTTTAAGTTAATACATATTTGCCATATTTGTGGGGTTTTTTATGTTCTTCCCGTTAAGATTTGCCAGCCAGTGTTAATTTCTGCTGCTTCAGCTGATCCTGGCTGTGTGACACACCAATATTTATATTAAATATTGTCCCACCAATGTTACATTAACGTTGGTTTTACCACTTGCCTGCCCCATCAGCAAGGTCTTTGCCCCTGGTGGGTGTTACTCAGGTCCTTTAAACAGCAGCATTCCTGGTGCAAGGAATTGTGTGTTAGAGATCAGCTGCTGCTCAGGAATGGAATTCCAGAGCCAAGAGCCCCAGCTCAGCAAAGGTTGAGGTTTGTTTTCCACAGCAAGGCACAGAAATGGAACTGAGGGCACCAGGTGCAGAAGCTGCCTCCTCCCAGTCCCAACTGCAGCCACACAGGAAGGAATTCCAGAGGTTTATATAGTTTATATATGTTTCTATATATTCATAGAGGTTTAAATAGCAGTCTTGCTGCTGCATTACTTCGACTCACTCTTTCCTCTTCCGTCAGCTGAAAATCCTGGCTGTGCTACCACCTTTCTGCTGATGAATATTTTACTGTTGCTTCATTAGTTTCCAGAGCAAACATCTCATCTTTGAGCTCCCAAACTTAGCTACCAGCTCTAAGCATGGCAGTAATGTACCTCACAAACTCCAGAAGCTTTCTGCCTCCTGAAGCATCATTTTCAATATAAAATACCCTGTGTTGCTGCAAGAGCCATCAGTGAACCCAGAACCAGAAATGTGTTTAAATACCCCATTTGTCTCCTGTTTTGTAAGTATTTGTGAGATGAGATTGAGAAACTGCTCCCTGGAAATGCCAATGCAAATTTCTTCATATAGTAATTAATTTATCTGTGCAACAGAATAAAACCCAGAGAGCAAGCTGATCCAGCCAAGTAGCCTGTTCCCAGAATGCCTGGGAAGCTCAGTCCTTTAACTGGGATGTTCTCCCAGGTTCCAGTTATCTGTTATTTAAAGACTTTGAAGACAAGAGGGTGAATCCAAACCATTACATTAAGCAGGAGTGGGAAGACTTGCACTCCATGCACTGAACCCCTTTCAGTCACCTCTTAATATTTTGGGCTTCGTAATCTCCACCTGCAGGGAGTCTTCCCTTTGCTTTTTCAGCCATTTGTTGCAAAAATGTTATTTCTAGACAAAAAGGGGTTTATGACACTGGCACAAAGTCACATATTTCCATGTTCCAGTGGAATACTGACACCCCATTAAAAAACACAGCACAGCAGTGACATTAATAACCCCCCCCAAAGACCAACTCTCATCTTTTATAGCTTTAATCAGTCTCTTTCTAACCTGAAACAGAATCAATGGCAACTGTTTAATAATAGAAATGAGAATAAAGCTGCAAACCACAAGGTTTATCACAACAGAATTCATTCCAACAAGAGTCTTTGCTCGGGTTAAAGTTCTTAATGAACTTTTAGAACACACTAATTTGTTAAGGACAGATTATAAAAGATAAATTGTCACTCAGCTTTCAAACAGCTCATTTCCAAAGCGACCTCACAGTCATTTGGGTCTTCATGATGCAGCACAGGAACTGTTTTATTCCAAGAGATTTTAAGAAAAATGAAGTTTAGCAAGACCTGCATTCTCATTCCACCCTGATCCATATAAACAAAGTAATACCAAAGTAGGACTCCTTACATTTATTGATCACTGCTGGGGATGATTTATCACATTTAAATTCTTTCACATCAGCTTCAAAGCTTGAGTCTCTCATCAGAGTTATCATCATATCTGCAAAGAATTAATAATTTTTATATTAAAAAGCAACTCTGTTATGCTGTATGGTACCTAACATAAAATAAAGCTTTCAATGCAGAAAATATACAGTAAAAAAAAAAAAAGTTGAACAGTCAAACAAACCAATAAGCAAATACATTTTCACTAGAGAAAAACGGCATCTCTGACAATATATTTGTTTCATGTTTCCTATTTTTACTTTCTCCCCCTCACCATCTGCCTCTGTTCTGCTTTCCCTTTCGAAAAGCATCCACCTCGTTTTTAGCTTTGCTCACCCCATCACAGGATTCAGGCTGAATAGAAACAAAATTCCCAATGCCAAAGCCACAAAAGGCACTGCCTCTTCATAAAAGGCCTTCTAAAAATAACTCTCCCTTTTCTTACAATAGCTGCAGGTTCTTTAAGAGACAGGATCCGTATCGATTCAGTGCTCTCCTACACACACCCTCTAGACAAAGGAACTCGAGTTGTTTGGCCCCTGGTGTCTCTGGACTCTACCTGTACCTTCAGTGCTGCTGGTTTTGCCAGATCTTCCCCTGTTCTTTTGGTAGCCAGCACTGAATCCCACAGAGCGGGACCCCACAGTGTGAAGAAAGAAGGTGAATTACAGGACCTGCAGGAATTCCAGCTGTTTCTGTATCTGAGCAGAGATTACGTGGTTGAACTACACTGAACTCCTGCTGAAGGATTCAAGCCAGCGAGATGGTTGGCTTTGCTTAAGACAACCTGCATGAAAATAAAAGCATTTTGGGGAGACAAGAAGGAAATAGTGAGAAATAGAGAATGCCCTTCATTGACATGTGTGTCATGCAGCACTCAGGAGAGCTCTGCAGTGCCAGAACCTGCACTGGGCTGTGTCCAGAGAAGGCAAGGGATAATAAGGAGAAGATAAAATACAGAAAGGTACTTGCCAGTGGCAGCACAGTAATCTGAGTCCTGAGGCAAATCCCTGGAGGGCCATAAAGCTCGTGGCAGTTTCTCATTTATGAGTCAATTCTCTGTAGCAACCATGTGAATTTGGTAAGTGAACCTTAGTGAATTTGGTATTGCAGTCAGTGCATGGGCTGAGGAAAACCTCTGGACCCAGCCTGGGTACAGCCCTGAGGTTCTGGGTCAGCCTGAGGAGAACATGCCCTGTGCAGTGCCAGGAGGAGCTGGGCCAGGTCTGACACCCTCCCAGCTCCCACTGCTCAGCCTTGTGCCTGCAGAGCCAGCGGGCACCTTGGCATGGGAGCAGTGTGGAAGCAGTGAGGGACCCACTGTGTGCTGTGTCTCTGGGGTCCTGGGAGCTGTTGGGGTGCCCGGGGGAGTTGTCACAGAATGACAGAGTCAGTTAGGTTGGAAAAGACCTCTGAGATCATCAAGTCCAACACCACCATGTCAACTAGATCATGGCACTAAGTGCCGTGTCCAGTCATTTCCTTAAACACTTCCAGGGATGGTGACTCCACCACCTCCTTGGCAGCCCATTCCAATGTTTAATCACCCTTTCCGTGAATAAATTCTTCCTGATGTTCAACCTAAACCTCCCCTTGTATCACTTAAGGCTGTGTCCTCTTGTCCTATTGCTAGTTGCCTGAGAGAGGTGACCGACCCCCGCCTGGCTCCAACCTCCTTCCAGGGAGTTGTCGAGACCGATAAGGCCTCCCCTGGGGTTATTCCAGAGTCGGAAGGCTGGGTGAGGGGCGAAAAAAAATATGGAACGCTTCACGAATTTGCGTGTCATCCTTGCGCAGGGGCCATGCTAATCTTCTCTGTATCGTTCCAATTTTAGTATATGTGCTGCCGAAGCGAGCACGATTGCTGCTTCGGCCCCGCCGGTATTTATACCACGGGAATTCGCACTCCGCAAGGTCAGGGTGACCCCGGGTAGGGTGGGACGAGCCGGTGGTGCCGCTGGTGTAACTGTAACACGGCCCCCCGACCATACCTCAGGTCGGGAGGGGCGGGAGGAGGTGGGAATTGGGAAAACAGAGCCTAAATCCAGCGCCCCAATTTATGCAAAAACCCCCTCTGTATGCAAATAAGCGCAAAGCCCTCTGGGGCGGGGCGGCACCGGGGGCTCCTCACGCGTCTTCCCTCCTTCATAACCTGCGGCGGAGTTCGGGGCGGCGGTGTGCTCTGCGCCGAGGGTAATGGTACAGTTTTCCGTGGTGATATATCTGTGGTTTGTGGCTAAATTAGTTCATATAGATCACCTGCGGCGATACGCTGGTAGTTGAAGCCATTTGTTGCTATTTCACAGAATCGTTCGGGTTGGAAGGGACCTCTGGGGGATCGCCGCCAGTCCAGGCAGGTGACCCAGGAGTGCATCCACAGAGGAGACTCCACGACCTCCCTGGGCTCCTGTTCCAGGGCTCTGCCACCCTCAGCGTAAAGAAGCTCTTCCTCATGTTGTAGTTTAGTTTATGGCCATTGCTCCTGGTGTATTTCGTGTGTCTCCGCAGCACGCGGGGCTGGAGCGAGGATCCCGAGGCCGTGGAAACGGGGAGGAAGCGCCTGTGAGGGAGACGATTATAACCGCGAGCGGGACACTTCCTTACCAGCAGCAGCAGAGTGGCGCAGCGGAAGCGTGCTGGGCCCATAACCCAGAGGTCGATGGATCGAAACCATCCTCTGCTAGCTAGGATTTTTTTTTTTTCTTTTTTGTCCCTCCCCCTGAGTCCTGTCGGCTCCGTCCTCGCTGCTGGTTATTTATGGCTGTGGGGAACGGTGGTGTAGCGAGTAGTTATTTTTCCTAAACCATCTCGACCACATGCTGTGGAGCAGGTGAGCAGGTGCGAGTAAAGGATGGACAGAGCACAGTATGGTGTGGTGCTTACAGCCTTTCTTCTAGCGTGATTTCATGGAGTCACAGGGTGGTTTGGGTTGGAAAGGACCCTTAAAGGCCCTGCCAGGGGCAGGAACAGTCAGGTTGCTCAGAGTCCCGTCCAACCTGGCCTTGAATGTCTGCAGGGATCGGGCAGATAAGATTCCTTATCTTTCTTATAAGATAAATATATAAGGCCTCTCAGAGCCTTTTCTTTTCCAGGCTGAGCAACCCCAACTCTCTCAGCCTTTCCTTATAGGAGAAGTGCTCCAGTCCCTGGAACATCTTCATGGCTTCATGTGGACCTGCTCCACCAGGCCTGTAACTAGCCATAAAAGCGTATATTTGTCGTTTTTCCATGTCTTGCGTGTTTAAGTGAATGTTCTGTTACCCACACAGCGGTCAGTCGGGTACCAAGAGAGGAAACAATCTGGCAAACTCAAAAAAACAGTTGTGACAATGGTCCCTGCTCCTCCTTCTGAAACACAGCCAGCAGATTCTCAGTATGAAATGCAGGAAAGGAAAATGAGAGCACAAATGTGAAGTGAAAGCCAGTGCACGTAGTGTTGAAAAAAATCTGTGTTCAGGCTTCGGGTGACATGAGGTGAGGAAAACCAAATTGATGCATAAAGGGGCAGTTTTGGGTTTTCCCCCCGGATTTCCCTCACAAGGCGCGGCTCAGGGGCCCAGGCTGTGTGGTTCCATGGTGTAATGGTTAGCACTCTGGACTCTGAATCCAGCGATCCGAGTTCAAATCTCGGTGGAACCTGAAGGTTTTTTTTTTACCGTGGGCAAATTTCTTTGCTGGAAAATCGTGGAAAAGTTGTTTCAGGTGTTTTTCATGGGCTGTTGAAAAGCCGTGAACTGCTGACATATCCCATGCTACCTGGAAAGCGTATGGAAAGTGAAAGAGGAAGAGAAGACAAACACAGAATTTTCCTGATTATATTTTTTTCCATATCTATTTCTTATTGCAGCCAGGTTGGTATATTCTGACAGGAATTATCTGAAGAATCTCAGAGATGTCACAGCTCACTGGAACATCAGTGGTTCTTTCGTTTCTACACTGGGAACACGATTCTAAATTCTGCATTAGCAAAGCTGGAGGCACTGCTGAGCTCCGGGGCAGGTGCAGGGATTCCGTGTGTCCCTAAAAACAGGTGTTCTCCCACTGTCCATGTTTGCTTCCTGCCATCATGATACTACGGGGTGACCTTATTGTGGCCTTCCAGTACCTAAAGAAAGTGGGGAGGAGCCTTGGACAAGGGTATGGAATGACAGGACAAGGGGTGATGTTTTAAACTAAAAGAGGGTTGATTCAGACTAGAGATAAGGAAGACATTTTTTACTACGAGGGCAGTGAGGCCCTGGCACAGGTTGCCCAGAGAAGCTGTGGCTGTCCTTGGATCCCTGGAAGTGTCCAAGGGCAGGTTGGAAGGGGCTTGGAGCAACCTTGGAGAGTGGAAGGTTCCCTGCCCATGGCAGGGGGTGGCACTGGATGAGCTTTAAGGTCCCTCCCAAACCAAAACAATTCTGTGAACACAACGAATCCTGCAGAAATGCAGGATAAATATGGATATGTAGATCGTGTTAAATTCCTGCCAGTCACAGCAGGTCCAAGGACAGAAGGAACAGTGTGGTTTTCCCACTGGGATTTGTTGGCTATGGATTTATTGGCCAGGCTCGCAGGGCCAGGAGGCACCACCCGGTTCTATGGTGTAATGGTCAGCACTCTGGACTTTGAATCCAGCGATCCGAGTTCAAATCTCGGTAGAACCTGTCGGGATTATCCCGATTTTTCCCCGTTCCATGGGGTCACATTGCGGCAGGGACAGAACTGCCCAGGATGAAGCTCCGGGAGCTCAATGCGAAAGCCTTCCCTTGACCTGACCCTTTATCATGCTGCTCCCACTTTTCTTCACTGGGACGAACAGCTGTACATTGGACAAAAAGGACAAGACCTTAAATAATTGTTGTAACATTTTAATTGGATAGTCCATTATATTTCACTGATGTTTTACACAAAGTCTTTTTTTGGGGGAGGAAGAAAAGGCGTTTACACTGTGGAAAACTTGCCTTTCAGTAGGTAAATGTGCTGAATTTGGACATTGTTTTTCAGCTGCACCCAAGTACTCGCTTGGAAAAGGGGGGCAGGAATGCCGTGGGTTTAGAGCAGGGATGATGTCACAGATAGAACTCTGCACAGTTTAAATGGGTATTCCCAGTGCTTTGCTGACACACACCCTCAGTGTTTGCTTTTCATTTCCAGGGTTTCTCAGGACACCAGAACACATCTCCTCTCCTGCAAACCTCTCCTCACTAGTCACTGGTTTACACAGCAACAGGAACATCCCTGCTCTGTGCCAGCAGCTCCTCCTCCTTTTCCTCTGGCCAGGTAACCCTTCTGTACTGTCCCTTGAAAAGAAACCACAGGTCACCTTCAGATCAGTTTATTATTTAGTGGAAGTTCAGGTCCCAGCTGCTCAAGGGAACATATGGAAATGTTTGCTCAGTTCGTTACATTTTCACCCAACCCATCAATGAAACATCCCTTGTATGTGTCAGGGCTAATTTTCATCCTTCCCTCAGCTGTTTGCTGGATCAGGCCACACACAAATAAGGATTTTATTGTTCCTTGTGCACCAGTGTTTTAATTAACTCTCTACAGTAACTTCAGTGTAATTAGTCAGTCCTCACAGACTGGTTTCATCCTTCTCCCCAGGCACCAGAGCTTTAAAGCCACAGAGGCTTGTCTGCCTTGCAGTGATTCAGTATATTAATTTACAATTCTAGAGAGCAGATTACCATTTCCCACAGCAATCTGGCAACTTTCTCCTTCCATTTATGAGAGTTGGAGGTGTAGCTGTGACCCAGAACTCTCCCAAACAGCTGAGGCACTACTGGTGCCACAGACATGCCCAGCATTCCAGACAAGTGTGAAACCAGGTGTACTGAGACTTTTTTATGGAGTGAGATGGAATCAGAGCAGAATTGAGCATCAGGATTTATTCAGGACAGTTCATGGTCCATTTGAAAACAAAGCACTGAAATTTGGGTAACTGAACATTGTCCAGCTGTAATCCAGCTGAGACTGCTGCATATGGATATATCCTTTACTGTCAGGGAAGCACAGCCCATGTGACTGAGCACAGGGAACACACTCCTGGGGCTGAGGGAAACCTCCTGCTCAAGGCAAAGGGACCTCACAACACACTGGAGCAGCCTCAGAGCACAGAACTACAACCCAGGCATCCAGCACTTGATGTGCTCAAGTCAAGAACACCCAGGACAATTCCCAAATTAATTCAGCATTTCCAGTTCCCTTCCCAGAATCCCTCCTTTAGAATTTTCTAAAAAGCCTTTAGAGACAAGACTGTCTTAGCAGAACATTCAAGGGAGAGGTGAAGCACTATGGCTGTGGCCACACCAGGAGCTTTCCCCCTTGCTGAAAAGGCAGGAGCAATGGAAATTATTGGCTGCCAAAAATTAATCAGGGAATTAATTAGTGCTGTATTTTCAGAAGTGTGGCTGGAACATGTGTTGTCAACAGTAACACTTTCCAACTACAGGTTTAAAAGCCAGAATCAAACCTTAGGCAAGTGTTTCACTATATATGAAGCTGCAATGAGGTTTTCTGATACCTCAAATTTCAATGAAAGCAGGTGGAGGGGGAAAGAAAAAAAAATTCTTTCCTTTTTAACTGGCACTTTAAAGAAAAGGGCTTATGTTTTACTCTAAAAAACCTTATAAAAGAAAAGCTAACCAAAATAAAAGACAAGTCTCAGTTGCTTAGGTCACTAGTGATAATACAGACATTCCATGTAGCCACTACAAGCTCAGATGCCCTCCTTGTCTTTAAAAAGAATTCTGCAACAGAAAAATAATCAACAGCTCTTCACACTGCGACCTCAAGGGGTTAAAACACTGGAGCAGATGGAAGAAATGGTGGATTCAACTGAAATAGTTTATTTCATACACTGAGCCACAGATTTCCTGGGAGCAGGGCACAGATTTCCTTCCCCCACTGACCAGCCCATTCCTGGGGTCCCCCACTGGCACAGGGAGTGAGGCCCTTCAGTGCAACAGCCAAACACAGAGGCCAAAGTGCCACCCACCCCTGAGGAGGATTTGTCACCTTGCACAAACAGTTCAGGGGTCTCCTTTCAGAACAAGGCAGCTCTTGTGTCATTTAGTGAAGGTTTCACACTTTTTCATACCACTTCACCCAGTATATGCACATAAAAAAATAAGCACACTGTACAAAGAGCAGAAGCCATATAATTTAAACATGCATCCAGCTACAAACCATATATACAGAGAAACAGGCCTATACAAACAGAACAGGACACCTTATTACATGATAATTCCATTGGAGTTTCTGGAGGAAATCGTGGCAGATAAAGAAAATCAGACTGAAGGAGGTGGACGTTGCTTCTAAAAGAAATCTGTTCCCAAATGTCATGCAACCCCCCATCTTTCTCTGGCAGACATTTGGCACAGTTCCAGCTACACACACAGGTCTTCCCACAACTTCTGGCCTCCCTTCCTGTACAGAGGTAGATTTCTGGTGATGTTCTGACATTGCACCACGTAAGTACCACGCTTTTATTACAAGGGACAACTCAGGCTAGTTCAGGGGGATAATCTCTTGGTGTGCATTCAGGTAGTGCACTAATCAAATTCATCTGCACTTGGAAGAAAACATCCCTCCAAGTGCAATGGTTTCTTGTTTAGGTGGAGGCTGCAATTATTAAACAGCTTCACATTAAGAGAACTATTTCTTGTCATCAGGGTGACACTTGAGTGTCTCTCTCCCTTTCAGCCAATGCCAGGACTTGCACTGCCTTCCCTGCTGCTTTACCCATCCACTGGGTCCAGGTGAAATGTGGATTTCAAACACACACAGGTTTTTGCAGGATTAGACCTTCCTCACACAAGCTGTTGTAATATTGAATGTACAAGAAGATTAATTCAAACTGCATGAAATGATTAAAAAGCTCATCCACCCTTTCAGGCTGGACAAGAAAAGCTGGAACTTTGCTAGTTTCAAGCAGCCATTAATGGTGAACAGATTGGATGTTACCAGGAAAATCTGAGGAAGTCTGGCAGGAATTTAATTTTCTTTTGTCCATCACATTCTTGAACAACCTTCTGACAACTCAGGACACTGCAGGCAAGCTTGCATGCCAAGAGCACTTTACAGTGTCTGTTAAATGAAACCTCTACAGCATACTTAGAAAAATAAGTGCACCAAAATTCATGATGCTGATGTATCTTAACTCTGAAGAGTTCACAAGCATTGCTCAGGACTTTTTTCTCAGAGACACCCCAGGAAGTTATTTTTTGCAGAAGTCTGTCAACATGGGAGACAAATGAAAGAACAATCTGGGCATGTTTCACTCTCAGAGAGAAGCCAAAGCAGCACCACCCCTCCTGGCTGCAAGCTTTGAAGAAAACTTAAAGTTCTCTTTTTTTACCAACCAACCAACCTATTTGGAGCTATTTTAAATGAACCATTCAGCATTAGCTTCCCAGGTTCAGTTTCTGTGAAGCATCCTGTGACATTACATCAGGAAGGAATGGTGGCTAGTTTGGAACTGAGTATTTTTTTGCTGAATTACAGATAACAAGGCATATAGAAATTCATTACATCTCTTCATATACTCACTTGTCCTTTTAAAGGGCTTTTTCTTTAGCCAGGCAAGTAAATCCCAAGTTACTTCACACCAACTGCAACAATACTGAAATTCCTGTGGACTGTTCTCCTGTGATGACAGGGATTGCACACCTAGGAGTAGGAGTAAAATCATCTCACCCTCTTGGAGGAGCCCATGCTGTGAAGTGAATGGAATGCTTCACTCCAGGGAGTAACTTCATCAGGAATTACACTCCCAAAGGGCTTCTGGACCTTGCGAGATCCCATTTTTGAATGAAGAAATCCATGAAACGACACACAGTAAAAGTTAAATGACAGTGGCAGGAACCAGAGCTTTTGGAGACTTCTGTGGTTTTGCAAAGCAATGGTTCTTCCCCAGGAACAGTCCCCAGCTGGGCAGTGCCTCACTCACCCTGGCTGGTGCTCCGTGTCCGCGGTTGCATAGAGGGTCCCCAGAGCTCAGCACAGCTCTGCCCTGTCATCTGTTACCACTTGATGTCCAAACTGCTCGTGCTTTGATTCACTGCACTGTATGTGGTGTGCAAAGTCTCCTGGGCCTTCTTGGAGTCCATGCCCTCCAGCCAGTCCTGGTACACCTTCTGTACGTGCAGGTTGGTTTCTGGCAGCCGGACGGGAATGGCAGCGTACACCTCCTCCATCTGGGCAAGCAGGGCTCTGTCTGGCTTGCCATCCTCAGTCTGGGCCTGGCCTTTGCCATTTAGGCACCCTTAGGGGGAAAAAAAAAGGAATAAAAAAGCTACAAGGGTGATGAGGTTTGATATGAGGAGAAATTTTTGTTTAACTTAAAATTCGTTTTTCACACTTGGCTTTACATAAACTCCCCCCGGTGCTGTTACAATTTGTTTTTACCTAAAGTGACTCTGATATCAACATCATCTTAATGGAAATGAGGTTTCCATATCAACAGTCTTTCCCTGCCTTCTCTGTGGTTTTATGATCCTAATTATCTGGTCTCTTCTTGCCCTTGACAACGACCATTTCAGGGGATTTCCTCTGAGGTTTGGACTGTAGGTCAGAAGAGATCCAGTAACACTGGGGCTAATTTTGGAAAACCCAATCAATTCCTGAGCCAACCCAGAACCTGTAACTGGTGTTCTGGACCCTTCATTAAATAATGAGATTTTAGATTATTAAGAAGGGAATTAGGAAGGAATGAAGTGCTTGCCTTAGGGCAGCTTTCCTTTGAGATTCAAGACGTGCACAGAGCGATTGGGGATCCACAATTATTCTTACCTCCAGGGCAGGCAAGGACTTCTACAAAATGGTACAAAAACTTTCCTTTTTTCAACTTCAGGACCATGTTTTGGATATTTCTAAAGCCATAAGCTGCTGCAAAGCGCAGCACTGTCTCCCCATCCTTTTCAAGGGTAACTTCTTGGAAGTCCTTGTTCCTGTCAAAACACACAGAGAACATTTTAACCCCCTGTGTTCCCAGAGGAACAGTTCACCTGTGTCAGTTTGTATTCAGATGCTCTAAAGAGAACAGAACAAGTGTAACAGTAAAATCAAGGTGAACTCTTCCAGTTTCTAAACTGTGTTAAGCAGAAATTGGGGTGTAACTCAGAATTATACTTAATTTTTTAAGTGTGGTTAAGCTATTAATTAAATGAATGCTGTGACAGACTTACAGGTTTATAACATATAACTGCCTATCAGACAAAGGGCAGCACCAACTAAACCAGGGGAGGTTCAGACTGGACTTCAACAACCCTTTCCTAACCAAAAGGGTGGTCAGACCCTGGAACAGAATCCCCCAGAGAGGTGGTTAATTTTGGTCAGCCCAAAATCCTCAGGCAGTTTCACTGGATGATCATTGTAGGTCCCTTGCAACTGAAAATATTCTATTCCAACTAGCCAGTCCTACATAACAAGGATACAAAACTCTGACTTACTTTAATGCTTTGTAGGTGATTTCCTTGACATCCATGCCAAAAAGCTCCTTTGCAGCATGTTTAAAAATGTGCTCCAGGTAACCATCAGACCTTTTCCCATCGTGCCTTACTACATCTCCCTCCTTTATGTCAGCAAACCTTGGAAAACAACAGAAAGGAAGATCAACTCTGAAATTCCATTCCTTCCCTTCAGTCAAGCAGTATGTTTTTCCCTTTATCTCCTCCACTAAAAAGTGTTTTGTAGCACTAAGTAAGAACACATTAACATTTTTATTACAGCTTAAAAAATGTAAACTGGTCAGGACAGCATCAAGATTGTGAAAAAAAAAAATATAAAATAAAGGCTGTAGGGTTTTCCATGTTCAAGCAACAGTAATTCATAAGAATACACATTCAGCACAGCCTAAATAGTTGGTTAACAGCCATTCACTGCTCAGGAGACATTTTTTTGAAAATATTTAAATAAAATTATTTAAATAAGTAGTTTGTTGCCTGTGAGAATATAAAGTTACAAGTCTTTGCTGACAGACAATTCTCCTGCTCCAGGAGCTGCTTGTCACAGTCTATAACAGTGTGTCAACACTGAACTGGTACAGCTGCAGCCAGGTTAGAACAGTGCACCTTGAAACAAGTGCTGTGCTCTAGCTCAGGGAAGGCAGTGAGAGCTCCTGTCCAAGGCCATGGCCTTCTCCTGGAGCTTCACCTCTGCCCCAGTTGGGAGCAGCTCTGCTGAGCCCACGTGGCTGCAGGAGGGGCTGTGCTGGGACAGTGCTGGGGATCCCAAAGCTGCAGCTCTGTGGGCTCCTGTTCCCTTCTGGCAGAGGAGGAATCCATATGGGGTGTGGGAATGCCACTTCCAGGAGGAGACACTGGTCTTCTGATCAGCAGACAGACAGATGATGTGCTTTGCTCTTCCATGTAAAAGCCCCTCTGGGTGTAGTCTGGTTACCTTCTCCCAGAACACCTGGAGTGCCCTTCCCTGGCACTGCCTGAGCTGATCCCAGCACAGAGCTCGGCCACAGAGCCCAGGTGAGAGATACCACAGCAAACACCTCACTAACAAAGCTACTACACTTAATAAGTACTTTTTTTAGTAAGTACTAAATCACTGAAAAGCTCAAATATGTCTGTCCCCTCCACGCCACTGAAGAACTACTGCAGCTTATAGTTGGTTTTTTGGGGTTGTTTTCTTTTTTTAACAACCTCAGGCAATTTTGTTTCATGGTGTGTCACCCAACTTTTGCCAAATGCTGTTTGCTGGAGCTACACAAGTGAGTTAAGAACTCAAACACAAGTTACTTTATCCATGGAACTTTTTAACACCAAGCACTTCATCACAAATTGCTGCTCTGCTGGGATTTATTTTAAGAAGAGTCCAAGTTATTTAAATTTCTCCGCAAGATCTATTTTTAAGACCCCAGAAGAGCAAAAATTTATGTCATCAGGTCTCTCAGCTTGAATCAGTATTATCAGATTAATCCTTTGAAAAGTTAACATTATTTTCCAACATAAATTGAGGTCATTTGGTCTGTTCAGCCTGGGGAAGAGGAGATTGAGGGGAGACTCATCGGGGTCTGCAGCTCCTCACAAGGGGCAGAGGAGGGGCAACATCCATCTCTGCTCCCTCTGACCAGTGACAGGACCCAGGGAATGGCTGGAGCTGTGTCAGGGAAGGGTTGGGTGGATCTCAGGAAAAGGTTCTTCCCCCAGAGGCTGGTTGGGCTCTGAACAGGCTCCCCAGGACAGTGGGCACAGCCCCAAGGCTGCCAGAGCTCCAGGACAGAGCTCTCAGGGACAGGGTGGGATTGCTGGGGTGTCCTGGGCAGGGCCAGGGGTTGGACTTGATCCCTTCCAACCTCAGGAGATTCTGTAGTTCTATAAACTGAGCTAATAAACCAGGTATATTCTGAATAACAGCTTGTTCTTTCATTGGACAGGCTGATACAGAATTAAGTGACTGTCTCTATGTGATTATGCCTGCAAGAGCTTTATTCATGGAATTCTCATTGTGTGACAGTTCCTGGTAGAAGCAGTCACAGGAGCTGCACCACAAACACAGCTCTGAACATGTTCCCCCTGTGCCACTCCAATTCCTCCACTCTAGACAAGATCCAAGCAGGATATTAACTGGAACTGAAAAGGATTTTTCCAAACTTACAGAGCTTTCTGTTTTCTGCAAGAAAGCACGTTTACTGCTCCACTACCACCCCTTTGGAAAGATACCAAGGAACATCTGTCACACTTGAACAAAGATCAGGGAGAGCAGCCTCTGTAACTAAGCCTGAGAATTAACCACCAGGCACAGTGCTCCCTGAGCCAGGCATATGGGGTGTAAACAAAACCTCTTCAGTGCTTTGTGTGCTTCTCATCCACAGCACAGTTCAGTCTGAGCTAAACTGGAAAAACTAACTGCTGTCCTCAGTATAAAAACCAGTTAATTACCATTTCCTGAAAGGGTGCTGCTTCTAGCAGTTCTCCATGAACATATTGGGGAAGTGGAAATTTACTGTGAAGGAGAGGGGAGCACAGAGCAGATGGTCAAGCCCACGACTGTGTCCCTGCAGCTTTGTGTGAGGCACATCAGCCTGCTGGGCTTCACTCAAGATCAAGCACAGGAGAGCTCTGAGTGGGGTCAACACCCCCAGACAGTCACATTTACCAGCAAGGCATGAGCTCAGCACAGTCAAATCTAATATTACTGCTTTAAAATAAAAATAAAGAGCTACACAAATCTTCAAAAGTCATACATTTTAAAGGAGTTACTATATAGCATATAATCTGAGGTAATGACCCTTTTGTGTTTAGACAGCATATACAGTTTTATATTATCTGTTTCATATTACTTTATATATAGCAATGAACATCTAAGACAACAATTCTGTGGTTTTGGCCACTACATAAAGGATGAAGCTGTGGCATATTCAGGCTTTGATGCAGGTTTTTTTCTTTAAAAAGAAAAAACCATTCTCCTGAGCAGTTTTACATTGATGCTGAATGTGCTCCAAGGTGTCATTTATGATCAAAATAAGGAAACAATCCACAACAAAGCTACTTACAAACTATCTACAGCTAGTTCAGGCACATCTTTCATAGACACATTTTTCTGTTCCATTATTTGGACAATTTCACCTGTAGGAAAACACAACACATTTTACTTTCAACACAAAGCACAACACCCACACTGTGCCTGTTTTAGAGATTAATGTCCCAACACCTGCTCAGTCACATTCTCCAGCTCTTCCCAGAGTCAGTTCCCTCCAATAACTTGAGAAGCCTGACACTTCCAGCCCCAAAGAAAAGGGCCTTCAAGCTTGCCCAAACTTTGCTTAAATCCTTAGCTTTCATGGTAGGGCAAATTTGGAAGGTGTCTCTACACTGCAGGATGTGTAGTTTGGACATGAATTGGAGTGTTAAAAATAATCCCCGTGGAGATTAAATAATGACCACAGACAAGCCAGACAATCATTTTAAATATAGATTTGCATAACTTTTACCTTCCTTGAGAAGCTGACAGAAAGAAATACCTGATATGTCAGATGAATAGCAACTTAGAAGGAAAGTATCCCCTTCACAGTCCCTGTACTACCAGGAGCACAAAACCAGACGTGCTTATTTTTAAGCAGAGAAAAGCCAACCTTAGGACTAAAGCAGACTTGAAAAAAGCCAAGTCTGGCATGAAGGCTATGCTAAAACTGGTGATTCACTTATATATTTATAGATGGTAAGTTTAAAGATTTAACCTGATGTCAGGACACAATCAACTTCTGATGAATTATACAAGGCAGTGTAGAAATCTTCCCGCAAGGCTTCCAGCTTTTTGTCATAACAAGGTGCCACAACTACATGGAAAATTTTATCAGGAGACAAGTTCTGTGGAACACAGAAGGGAGCACAAGTGAACTCCTTGAAGAGCAAAAGACAGCTTGAAGGATGACAAGGACAGAAATAGTGTCATAAACCCCATGCAGGCAATACCAGGAATCAGCCCCCACCCATTACATTTAGAGGCTGCCACACACAGATAATGATTTGTCAGAAGTCACAAAGCATCAGCAACAGACTTCCAAAATCTGTCTTCTGGCTGGAACTCTTACTTATCCCTTCAGACTACATTTTCTGTAGCTTTTGATTGCCTTAGAAAATGAATACGGTTCAGGAGTTCTGGTTTCCAGCTGTCACTCATTTATGTCTCTCTATTTCTGTATCCCTGTGCAGACAGCAACAATTTCCTACAGACTGTGGCTGCAGTTCCATGTAAGTATGATATGTAAAGAACAGCAGCTTTTTCAACATACAAACTTGACACAATACAAAGATTTGTTTCTAGGATACAGTGCTTTTATTGATCCCAGATAACAGGGCAATTTCCACATGTCTCTCCTCCTGTTTTGGCTGTGCTGTAGAACAGCACAAGAAACCCTTTAGCTGCCATGGGTTTAATTTTATCCTTAAATATCTAAAGCCATGTTGCCCTGAGAGTGCCAGGATTGCACTGCATGAACTGAGGTTCTTTGCACATTCTTCCCATCATGGCACTTGTGTAGCAGCAGAGCACTATTTATTTTTCAAGGACAAATAACAACTAAGATCTATATTTCAGTATTAAAACCCAGTAGCCCAACTTTTCTATTTAGAAGAGTATAATGGTAGAAATAAATGGGAGTTATTTACCTGCTGCCTGGCAAAGTAGCCCTTCACTAGGGAGCCCATGATCTGCTGGGGAGACTTTGCAGTGCAAATGTGAGAGGTCACCAGGTTGGTGAGCACCCTTTCAGCGTATCGGATCCAACCTGGGGAGACAGGAAATCACAGTCAGAGAGAGAAGTGGCCCAGAAGCACAACTCACAGAACAGCTCCTAAAAATTCTGACCCCTTCACAGTAGGTAGGAGATTTCTGTGCAGGGTGAGGGGAAATGGAAGAAAATTCAAGGCTCTGTTAATAATGCTTTAATCGATAATTCACTGTGTCATTAACTCTAGACCTAGAAGGCTCTGTGAACTTCATGCCCTGTTACACCCTTCCTAGTGCACAGATTTAACAAAGCAGAAAGAACAGGACCCCAACTAACAAAGAGTAACCTGACCTTCTAGACCTCAGCCCTCGGATCACCTCATACTACAACAAATGCACAGTTTGGCTGCTTAACTGGAACCTGCTGTTTCCTGAGATTCAATCTCCATGCCCCCAGCTCGCCCCCCCTGGAACACAAGAGTCACATGAAAGCATTGTCACAAGATGCACATGGATTAAGCCTGGAAAAAATGGCTTCTTTTACTATTGCTGGAGTAGCCACACCTTCAGGAACACCCACACACTCAACCACACACAGAGGAATGAACTGAAATCTCTGTGTGCAACATTTTGTCCTTAGTGACTCAAGAACCCCCCTCCCTCTCACCAGACTCCTTCACTCAGCACGTCAGCTCAGGCAAGCTGGGGATATTCTCACCATTCCCAATATCCAGAGCTGTTGTATTATCCCCCACCTTCCAAAACAGAACTGGCAAATCAAGGTATTTAGGGTGTGCAATTCTTTCTTAGGCACTGTAGCTCTTACTGGAAACCACAGCCCAGAATCTTTCACAGCAAGGGTTTGGAGCTTTTCTCATCTACATGACACCTAAACTGTGCAGGAGATTTAGGCCCAGCCTTCCAGGGAAGTGTGTTGCTTTTGGTGCTAAGAAATAGTGAGAAATATCACACTTAAGTCTTTTATCTTCAAGCAAATTAGTGTTTACATAAGAGAAAAACTGCTGTGCAGTACATGCTGCCCAGGAAGGGTAAAACCTGTACCTTAATTTTTAATCTTGGAATTACCACTTATGTAAAAAAACACTTGGTAATGTTTAAGTCAGAACAGCAGGACAAAGCTGGGATCCAAGTGGTATCCAGCTGTTTGCCTCTCTATGGCAGAGTAGTTTTCCCAGTGTTATAAAATTTTACTGATGAAGATGAGAATGTGACAGTATTAGAAAAACCCGAGGATCCTTCAGCGGTTTAAATATTCCCAATTCTTATTGAAGTACAGATAGTGGTCTCCATGGAAAATCTCAAAGACACACATCATCTTCAACAACCATTCATTTCTGCTGTAGGAAAAGCTGAGGACCAGATTTACATGTCAGGACTGTGCTGAATTGCCAGACTCTGAACAGAAGGTTTGCCTCTTGTCCACCTTCAACTGTACCTGCAACAAAGGACTTAATTCCTTGGTGTTTGGTAAAAGGCTGTATTACATTCTGCAGCATGGGTACATCCTACTGCTCAAATGGCCTTAGTCTCAAGTGCTGTCCAAAGAGAACAACAACTGCTTCAAACCAAACAAGGACAGTTTAAAAACCACTCTGCCTTGTACTTGCCATTACTCACCCCAGCACTCCTGCTATGAGTTCTTAAAACTGGAATGTTTCAGCTACTGTAGTCATGAGCTGTAAGGACATTTCACTGAATCCCAAGAGATTTCTGACAGCTATTACCCAAAGTAATTTCTGAAGTTGTTTCTGTCCTTGCAGCAGATGGAACAAGTGTCTCATAGTTGCAGCTCCTGGTGCCCATCAGTCCCTGGCTGATTGACAGGCAGCCTTGGTGAGGGGCACAGGGCATTGCTCTGCCCTGCACACACACACTGCTGTTCCTGCCTGCTCATGCCAGGGCTCAATTCCAGAGCCTCAGGCACAGGAAGCCTCAGATACCCCGTTCTGCTATCAGGGTGCACCTGCACCCACCCAGACCTACCCCCTCCACAAATTCATTTGGATTCTCAGACAATTGCTGGCTTGTGTTGGCATCAAAGAGCAAGAAACCCCTACCAATCAATGCATAATTTCTTGCAGAGGTACTTCAGAACACATATTGTTCGTGGTTATTCTGAGAAGGTCACAAAGATAGATGCCATAAATGTATCTGTGCATCTGTAGGAAGGGCAAGAAAACTAAGAAAACTTTTGCTGCTGTAAAACCCCGTTCCTGAAAAAGGCAATTAGTTGGCTGGGACAAAAGCATCTGAATCCTCCATAGTTATGTTCTTCCTACTGCTGCTGCAAATCCCAACCCCTTGGCTTTTCTGGGAGTACCCAGAAGTTGGCAATGCATTAAAAACTGGCTGTTTCCAAAACGTGCTGCATGTTGCTGAGGAACACAAGTGATTACTGTGAGCTACTACCTGTACTATCAGCAGTTACACTGTTGTACTTTAAACAAGAAACAAAACCATCAGCTCACTTTCTCCTTTGGGAGCAGCAGGAGGTGAGCAATTAAGAGAGGGACACTAATCCACCTTTTTATCAGGTTCTGGGCCCTCTGGGCTCTGCTCTTTGCTCATGGCAGATGTTCCACAGCAGGCTGCTGCACAGGGTGATAGGGCTGAGGAGGGTCACACCCCAAGATAAACAAGAGCAAAAAGCAGTTCTACTTGAGTTCCCATTGACCTTCTATCTACTGAAATATATAAAAAAACATCTTGTGATAAACACAGTAAACAGCATTTCTGGGACAAATTTATGTCATTTGGGGGTAGAGAGGGGAAGGAGAATAAGGAACAGAAAATGCCCTCAGTACACATGGTGTAGTGTCAATTAAGGTCAGTACACATGATGAACTTTAAAGATGACTAGTCACGATTTTTGCTTTCTCTAAGTGCTGTCAGAGAAACACACCATGTTTTCAAAATGGGTTTACAGTGATATTCTGGTTCAGTTTCCCAGAAAAGGAAAGCACCCATGCTCTGCTGACATCTGTACAGAGAGCTGACACCACAACCTGCACTGAAACCAGAAACTATTTTGTGTGGGCCACACAAGGACAAGAAAAGTGCTCCATTAATTATTTTTAAATATTTCCAGTAAGAGCAGCAGATAACTGAGCTCTGTTTCTAGATGAAGAAAATCAGAATTCTCAGAAGTTCTAAAAGAAATCCTCAGGTCCTGAATTTTACATAAACCATGCACAACCTAATTAATGGGGGGTGTTTCAACTTCACAGGTTTCACATGAAAAAAAAGCAATATACAGTGTGCCTGGTCCTGAAGAGATTACACTAAGATAAC